GTTTCTTGAGAGACTACACCAATATATGTCCATGGTTTAAGAGCAGATCCAGCTTCACATCTTTTCTATATTTATTTACTTATTATTTGTTTACTGTTAATCCTTACCTGAGATTATTTTTTCCATTGCTTTTCAGAGAGAATGGTAGGGAGGGAGAGAGGAAGGGCAAAGAGAAGGGTAGGGAGGACAAGAGAGAGAGAGATAAACATTGATGTGAGAGACACATGGACTGGTTGCCTCCCACACAGGTCCAGACCTGGGCAGGAGTAAACCCACAACACAGGTACTTGCCCCTGACTGGAAATCCAACCCGGGCCACTTCAGTGCCCTGGGCTACACTCTAACCATTTAGCAATGCTGATCAGGGATCTACCTTTATTTTTAAACTAGAGGCCCAGTGCACGAAATTCATGAATGGGTAGGGTCCCTAGGCCTGGCTGGCGATCAGAACCAATCAGGGCCTTCTGGCTGCCGGCCAGGTCCTCCTTTACCTGACTGCTGGCTGCCAGCTGCCGCCCAGGGCCTTCCTTTGTTCTGCGCCACCCCGAGGTGATCAGTGCACATCATAGCAAGTGATTGAACCCCTGGTCTCCCAGTCGAACTCCCAAGGGGACACTTTGCATATTAGCCATATATATATATGTTTCCTTCTTCAGAAATGGGCAAAATTTCCTGGTTATCTTTGACAGGAGGCGTTCCTCTGTCATATCTATGTTATTTCTAAATCCCAACAGAACAACAAGGTGGATAGAAGAGATATATTTTAAAATCAGGAATATAAAATTATTTAGAAATATCTGCTTTATCAATGTAAAAAAATAGAGTGTGTTCTAAACTTAACCAAAGAGCTCTGATAGTTTAGGATTTATTTTTAAAAATGTGCATTGTTTATTCAAGATTTATCAAAAATTTCTATTTATTTTTCCACTAATGGATTCTGTTATTTTGTTCTGTAAAATAACTGACCACAAAATCATAAGTAAAAAACTTTCTAAAATTGTTTATAAAAAAGTGAGTTGTTAAAGGTCCTCCCAAAATTATTGATTAACTAGTGGCCCAGTGCACGAAATTTGTGCACTTGGGGTGGGTTGGGGGTTCCCCCAGCCTGGCCTGTGCCCTGTTACAGTGCAAGAGCCCCAAGATCCATCGCCCAAAGTGGTAGGCCCCGC